AAGAATTCAATCTTTATCCGATACTTCACAAAAAGGATTAATGATGGCTATTGAACGAGTAAGTATTGTGTGTTTGTATATAAGAATATAATTTAACGCATTTTGCTTCTATAATCTTTTTATAGGTGATGCAAAAGCAAAGTGGAATACAAGATCCTAATAATAAACAACAACCATTTAATTTGTATGTATACTATAGAATTATGACTTGTTATATATATTTTGATTAATATTTATTAACTTGATCATTTATAATATAATATTTGAATTTTCGAATTTATAAGTGAAGAAGAATTGCGACAGACAAACAAGGCACTTGAAAAAGCCCTCAGTGACAAGCAAGCTCTAGAAAAAACGTATCAAGTTTTGATGGAAAAGCATCAACAACTTCATAATCAATATGTAAGTAACTTTTTATTATTTTTTCAATTATTTAAAACTTTCCATAACATGTTTTGCTTATCGTATACAGGATGATTCACAAGCCGAGAAGGAAGTTTTAGAGCAGCGAGTAAAAGATTTGGAAGTCAACTTGTCACATACAAATCAAAGTGGCAGCAGAGCTGATTTCCTTCTGAAGACCCAGATTGATGATCTTCGTCAACAAATGCAAGTATACATTCATTTTAAAAGCTTTAACTATTTATCAATTGGATTATTATTAACGATATTATTTACACAATACAGAGCTCGGAGCGAAACTAAACGAAGTGAAATCGAAAAAACGATAGAGGAACAAAATAAGTTGATCTCGGATTTCAAAAGTCAGGTAAATTTTATTGCTAATCTTACAGATACTTAATAATCGGCTATTTTACTTACCTTTCTCGTGACCGTGTAATGATTTAATAGGTTAAAGATTTGTCTTCTAGAGCTGATGAAGCTGCTCGTCTTAAAGATCAACTTGATGAATATAGACATGCTGCGGACAAACTCAAGAAAACTGAAAACGTTATCGAAAAATACAAGAGGAAATTGGAAGACGGTGATAATCTAAGGAGATCATTGAAGGTGGACCCTAGACAAAATTTACTCTTATTCTGGCGCTAAATCTGCGCACCTTTTTATTTGCTATAATTTATATTTTTATTGTTCAGACTTTGGAAGACGAGAATCGAGAACTAATCGAGCGTAATAAACAAATCGAAGCAGAATATCGGAAAGTAGCAGCCTTCAAAACCATTATGGAACAATATAAACATCAAATAGATAAACTTGAAACGGAAAAAAGAGAGCTCACTGATCTTCGAAATAAATATGAATCCGAATATAAACATATGAGGGCGAAGATCGAAGCGTATGAAATGGAAAAAGCTCGGGACATGGAAAAAATAGAATTAATGGAAGATAGACTCCGAGAATTAGAATTTGTTGACGGTGAGACAACTATGTGAAATAATTAAAATTCAAGTTTATAATAATAACAACATATAATAATAACACAATGAAATCCAATAATATAGGAGAACGTCTTGATAAAATTCCAGGTGTAAATCGTGAAACAAATTATGATAATAACCCGCATTATGGCGAACTCTCAGATGCACTCTCAGGGACAACCATGACACAATTGAAGTTAAAGATTAACGAATTACAACATGAATTAGATGGATGGCGTGAAGGAAAACCAACTGAATCAGAAATTGTTGCACTACAAATCCTGCTTGATGATGCTAACCGAATGAAACAGAGATTGGAAAAGGTTAAATGTTAATAATAATCTTTTGATTTTAATTAATGATTGAAAGATTATTTCTTAATCTATAATTTGAAAATTATATCTTGCTTAATTGTATGAATGGAATAATAGGATTTGGCAAAAGCCAACAAAGAGAAATTCGAAATGGAGAGTAAACTTGCTCGTTATGAGAATAGTTGGTTAGTATTATATCAAATGTTTCAATCAATAACACGAATACTAAAATTTTCGTTATTAGGCGCGACTTTAACAAAAATCCCAGTGCAACTCCAAAGGACAAGGAGTTATATGAGCTTAGACGGAAACTTGTTGATGCTCAAAACAAGTTAGAACAACTTGAGAAAGAGAGGGTCATACCTAAATTAGATCGTATGTATTATATACAATAATTTGTCTTAATTTTTTCTTTTACATGCGAGCTAAATTTCCCCTTTATTATGCTAAACTTTAACAGCTGACCTTGAGAATAAGTTAGAAAAATTAGAGGCAGAACGGGACCAATTCAAGATTGAAAAGGAGTAATTAATATTGATTCTTTATTATGGCTTTATGACATTAACATGTAATAATGGTTTTTTTTATTTTAAAAGTGAGTTGAAAACATTCCTAGATAGCTTAGAGGGTAGAAATGAAGATGACTTCAAAACAGAAAATATCAAATTGCATCGCCAGAATGCTGATCGTGCAAAGAAAATTGATCAACTTAAGGAATTAGTTAAAGCACAACATGAAGTGATTGAGACTTCAAAGATTGCAGATAGTTCTTTGAAAGTTGAACGAGAAGCTCATGCCGAGGAAATTAAACGTTATCAAGTAAGTATTATTTAATTTAAAATCTCTTTATTTTTATATGTTTAACCATTTTATATCTGTTTAATAGCTGTTGATTGAGGAAACCAAGAAACAAGCCGCTTTTGAACAAAATCTAATTACTGCAGCTTGGTATGATATGGGACGTCGAATTCAAAGAGATAATGTTTCTTTCCAAAGAATTACACCTACATCCTGGATTGGTCAACAGCGACGAACCCAAGAGGGTCAAGTAAGTTAATCTTTTATCTATTATTAATAACTAAACCGGATTAATTATTCATATTGAATTTTGTATCAATTCAGCTCAAGAGACGGTAATTAGAGAGCTTGAATTGCTGAAACTTGTCGCTCAAGCACACTAAATTAAATATATACAGGATTTTTATTTGTTTCCATGTAATTCTTGTTCATTGTATTTATTTTTATATTGTTTTTTATGGGTGGGAACTAAAGGAGTATGGGTTTATCTTGTTATTATAAATCTTACTTTTTTTTGAATATATAAATATTCTTGTATTTGTTATTTATATTTTGTATAAATCAAGAATAAAAGAAACTTCAAATTATTGTTTGTAGCACATAAATAAAGGAATTTATACATGTAAAGGACATGTCGGATAAAAATAGTAGTAGAAAAATTAGAGGTAGAACGGAATCAACTCAAGACTAAAAACGAGTAATTATTAATAATTGATTCTTTATTATCGTTACCTAAATTGTATAGTGAATTAAGGATTAAGTCAACTCGGATAATCTTATAATTATCCGGATTGACTTAATACACATGACCTATATCTGTAACACATTCAATGATTGGCTGAATTCTGTATAACACCATCACTAACAATTAACCACTTACATGACCAGTTTCTAGTTTGGTTTCGTAGAGTTTCCTGAATGTGAGTATTGGCGTTTCTTTTCATTGGTGGGCGTCTAGTTTCTTTCGTTGGTGCTGTCGCAAATTTCGACTGGTTTCGCACCGGGTCTGTATAGCATCGTTGAACGGCCATATCTCTGGAACACATGAACAGATCTTTGCGATCTATAGTCCTAGAATTAAGGTGAATATTTTTGCGTTTAGATCAAAAAAATCGGGACAATATTGGTGGAAATATTGATATCCAAAGTCGGCGCATGAAAAATCTTAAAATGACGGATGGATCGTGAGGCAATGATATCTTGCCGATCTGTGTTCAGAATTATGTGAACTTGGGTTCGTTTGATAAGACGAACATTCTTTATATTCGGACCACAAAACTTGGGAAAATATAAGCATCCAAAGTTGACTGATTTTCTTGGTAAGAGTTCCCCGGGTGTCCAGTTTCTCCATGTTGGTTTCATCGCGACTGGATCCAGTGGGTTCTTTGGTGAGTATTTGATGCTTTTCGTTGATATTTCAGATGCAATGGGTGGAAGTGATCTTGAAAAATCGATTTTAACAATGTCAACAACAATCAAATAAAATTTTTAATTTGTCAGTTTATTTTGTTGTCAACCAGAAACACTGTAAAATTGCTCGCCAACTTTATGATTAGTACTTTTAGTGTGGGTTTATTCAAAGAATGTTAAAGCTGGTATGCCTACACTAGTATTTTCATTGGCTATTCAATTTTGGTCACATGATTGCAATTCGGATATCACGTGTAACTACCTGGTTTTAGTGGACCCCTAAATGTAATTTTTTTTGTGTTACAAGTGAGTTGTGCAAAGAACAAAGAAAATTGATCAGCTTAAGGAGGTAGTTAAAGCAATGATTGCGATTTCAAAGATTGCAGATAGTTCTTTGAAAATTGAACGAGAAGCTCATGCCGAGAAAATTAAATGTTATCAAGTAAATATTATTTAATTTAAATCTCTTTATTTTGCATGTTTAACCATTTTATATTTTTTAATAGTTTTTGATTGAGTGAGAAAACCAAAAAACAAGTCGCTTTTGAACAAAATCTAATTAACACAGCTGATCTTGAAAGTAAGTTAGAAAAATTAGAGGCAGAACGGGACCAACTCAAGACTAGAAACAAGTAATTATGGCTTTATTAACATAAATGTAATAATGTTTTTTATGTTAAAAGTGAAAGTAAGTTGTCAGAATGCTGATTGTGCAGAGAAAATTGATCAGCTCAAGGAATTAGTTAAAGCACAACATGAAGTGATTGAGACTTCAATGATTGCAGATAGTTCTTTGAAAGAGGAAGTTAAACATTATCAAGTAAATATTATTTAATTTAAAATCTGTTTTTATTTTGTGCTTTTTAACCATTTTATATTTTTTAATAGTTGTTGATTGAGGAAACTAAAAAACAAGTCGCTGATCTTGACAATAGGTTAGAAGAATTAGAGGCAGAAAGGGACCAACTCAAGATTAAAAACGAGTAATTATTAATAATTGATTCTTTATTATGGTTTTATGGCATTAACATAAATGTAATAATATTTTGGTGTTAAAAGTGAGTTAGATAGCTTAGAGAGAAATGAAGATGACATCAAAACAGAGAATATCAAATTGCATCGCCAGAATGCTGATTGTGCAAAGAAAATTGATCAGCTTAAGGAATTAGTTAAAGCACAACATGAAGTGATTGAGACTTCAAAGATTGCAGATGGTTCTTTGAAAGAGGAAGCTAAACGTTATCAAGTAAATTTTATTTAATTTAAAATCTGTTTTTATTTTGTGCTCTTAATCATTTTATATTTTTTTTTAATAGAGGTTGTTTGAGGAAACCAAAAAACAAGCTGTTGACCTTGAGAGTAGATTAGGAGAATTAGAGGCAGAAAGGGACCAACTCAAGACTAAAAACGAGTAATTATTAATAATTGATTCTTTATTATGGCTTTATGGCATTAACCTAAATGTAATAATGTTTTTTATGTTAAAAGTGAGTTAACATTACTAGAATCCGAAAATATCAAATTGCATCGCCAGAATGCTGATTGTGCAAAGAAAATTGATCAGCTTAAGGAATTAGTTAAAGCACAACATGAAGTGATTGAGACTTCAAAGATTGCAGATGGTTCTTTGAAAGAGGAAGCTAAACGTTATCAAGTAAATTTTATTTAATTTAAAATCTGTTTTTATTTTGTGCTCTTAACCATTTTATATTTTTTTAATAGTTGTTGATTGAGGAAACCAAAAAACGAGCTGCTGACCTTGAGAGTAGATTAGAAGAATTAGAAGCAGAAAGGGACCGTTATCAAGTAAGTATTATTTAATTTGAAATCTCTGTTTTTATATGTTTAATCATTTTACATCTGTTTAATAGCCGTTGATTGAGGAAACCAAGAAAATTACACCTACATCCTGGCTTGGTCAACAACGACGAACCCAAGAGAGTCAAGTAAGTTAATCTTTTATCTATTATTAATAACTAAACCGGATTAATTATTCATATTGAATTTTGTATCAATTCAGCTCAAGAGACGGTAATTAGAGAGCTTGAATTGCTGAAACTTGTCGCTCAAGCACACTAAATTAAATATATACAGGATTTTTATTTGTTTCCATGTAATTCTTGTTCATTGTATTTATTATTTATATTTTGTATAAATCAAGAATAAACTTTAAATTATTGTTTGTTGATCCGGAAATATCTAGAGCTTTATACTTTTATACAAATAATATCAGCTGTTTTTGTCAAAGCTAAGCGCAACAGAATGATACAACTAAAATCGATATTAAACGTAATAGATAATTCTGGCGCTATATTGGCCGAGTGTATTCGCGTAGCACATGGAGGACGTTATGGTCGTATAGGTAAAGGAAATTTAGACATGTAAAGGATATTAACAAGATAAATTTATTTTTATGTCGTACTTTCATTTAAAATGTTAAAGGTGATCAAGTAACAGTGGTAATTCAAAAAGCACGACCAATTAACACCTCTACAACAGGATCTGGTGCCACGGGATCAACCACCGCCGCAAAAATTGCTATTCGCCGTGGAGAAGTTCGAAAAGCTCTCGTTGTTCGTACACGTAAAGAAACTCGACGTGCAGATGGCCGATATATTCGATTCGACGATAATGCTTGCGTTTTATTGAATAATCGTGGCGAACCCCTAGGTACACGGATTTTGGGTGTTGTTGCGGCCGAATTAAGAGGAAAAAAGTGGGGAAAAGTCGTTAGCTTAGCACCTAAAGTTGTTTAATAAAACAATATTATCACGTGATATACATTGTAAGCTATTGAATACTTAGATAAAATAAATGAATAATAATTTGCCAATTAAATACAATAAAAATATTTCTTTGGTTTTATAATTATTTATATTATTTAGAGCTTATTATTTAAAGCTTTAATATTATCTTCTTTTTTATATCAATTTCATACAAAATAAAAAGATTTTCTTGAATATTTAAAATTTTCTGTTTTAATTCCATTTTTCAATTAAAAAAAGTCTGATTTATATTGATAATTTTTCAAGAATATAAAAGTAAAATAATTATTTCAAGTTTTTATTTATGAATTCTTTTTATTATTATAATTGTGAATGTTTGCTTTTCATAAGAAACATTTCAAACTTGCATAATAAATTTCTGATTAAATTATTTTTTTCTGAAAAAATATAATCATTTTTATTAGAAGTTAATCAAATTATTCCTTTCACCAAGTGATAATTATCAATTATCAATTTATATTACCAGAATATTTATCTAATATTTAAAGTACTTTGATAAATCTTTTTTGATATATGTAATAGACTTTTTAATTTTATTTTTATTAGAAAAAAGAACAAAATATAATAGTATATTATTATTAAACATTAACTGATTTCTATTACTCCAAATTTTAAATAAAATCTTATATTTATTCAAATACAATATTTTTCTTTTTCAGAAATATCTCTCACAATTTTTTTATTTCTCGTTATATAAGAACAGATCTTATTATTATTGACTTGTAATTATTAATTGTTATTATTAATTCTAACTTATTATTAATTTCTTTATGCTAAATTATTATTTTAATTTCTTAATATAATACCAAATCAACTACTAATTGCTTTGTAAAGATCAATAATTTCTAAGTATTATTATAAGTTGAACTTCTGGATAAGTATTCTTATAATAGAAATATTTAATTAATATTTATATTATTTGTATTTTGTATATTTAATCTTAAATGAATTATATCACTTCAGGATAGGGTTCTGAAAAAAAGTCTGATTCAGTTCAAGTCTGATTCAGTTCGAGCTTGAATTAGACTCAAACCAAATCAAAAGTTCAGTTCAAAAATTTGAACCTAATTAAAAATTTGATTTGAGTTTGATTCGAATTTCAAATCAGACTTGAACCTAATCAAAAATTCAGTTTGAGTTTAAGTAAATGTTTGTAAATGTTCTAAGTAAAGTTGTAGATCGTAACATGAGTTACAAATTGATATAAGATAGTTAATATTTAGGTTGAATATTTAATGGATTTAAAAAATAATTTTAATTATTATAATTTTAATTTGCTTTAGTTTTAGTATAATAAACATTTATTTTGCTATAGTAATCATAAA